ATAAAGAAAACAAAAATCCTCACAACTGGACCAATAAGCAACATCATGATAAACGGAGAAAAGATTGAAGTTGTCAAGGATTTCATTTTACCTGGGTCCACAGTCAACACCCATGACAGCAGCAGTCAAGAAACCAAATTATGTATTGCATTGGGCAGATCTGCTGAAAAGACTTCTTTATAAAGTGTTAAAAAGCAAAGATGTCACTTTGAGAACTAAGGTGTGCCTGACTGAAGCCATAGTATTTTCAGTCGCCTCACATGCACGTGAAGGCTGGACAATTAATAAGGCAGACCGAAGAATTGATGCCTTTCAATTATGGTGTTGGCAAAGAATACTGAATATACCATAGATTGCCAGAAGAACAAACAAATTTGTCATGGAAGAAGTACAACCAGAATGCTCCTTAGAAGTAAGGATGGCGAAACTTTGTCTCATGTTCTTTGGACATGTTGTCAGGGGGGATCAGTCCCTGGAGAAGGACATCATGCTTAGTAAAGTAGAGGGTCATCGAAAAAGAGGAAGCCCCTCAATGAGATGGACTGGCACAGTGGCTGCAACAATGGGCTCAAGCATAACAACGATTTTGAGGATGGCACAGGACTGGGCAGTTTTTTGTTCTGTTGTACACAGGGTGGCTATGGGTTGGAACCGACTCGACAGCACCTAACCACAACAACAGGTTAGAAGTGAGGGTGTTGTGGGGACCCCCAAGCTTGTGGCTGACATCTAAATTCTTAGGTAGACTTGGCAGTTGGGAGGACTATGCCGTTTAACTTGTGAAGTCTGACCTACCTCCGGGTGGTAAGGGTCAGCAAAAGTGCCGCACGTGCCGTTGGAATAGGAATTGAAGTAGTGAGGAATAGATTGAAACTGATCAATACATTTGGTGTCAGAGAAGTGAGATTTGATTTCCACAGTCAGTTTCTTAGTTGTGACAAACGTATCTTGGTGATGTGAAATGTTAACAGCAACGGAAACTGGGTGAGAAGTCTATCTTTGCAAGTTTTCTGAAAACCTACACATATTCTACAACTAAAAAGATTATTTAAATTAAAAAAAAAGAATATGCAAAGATCTCCATTCCACAATTGTATGTGATAGCCACAGACTAATTGATAAATTAAGCTTTGTAAACATATAGAGAATGGTTCGATAAAGAGGGATTCATTCAAAATAACCATGGAATATTACGTGGGATTTAAAAGGACACGGTAGATTTATTTCTACTAGTATAAATTATCTCTTTAGTCTATCGCTGGTCAAGGAAAACAGTTTGGTTAGACTCAGTGTCCCATATGACAGTATTTATGCAAAATATTAAACCAAGAACAGAAACACATTAATGGGCTATAAGTACCTGAAATAGCATATAAAACCAGCTGTACACCTCATCAGAGGGATAACATTTTTTTTGCCTGGAGATCAGTCTTATATTGGGCCTGGGGTAATGAAGGGGGAATTTGTCTTAATTATATTCTTTAAGTGTGTTAATGTGTTCCATTGAGACCTGCAAATTTTTTCAATAAGAAAGTATTCAAAAGATTAGCAAATGTATCCTCTAAAAATATAATTAAGTAAATAACTAGGACAAGAATAGCACCCTGGGGCAGTGCGGGGTGAGGACCCCACATGGGCTGCCTGCCAGCCCTCTCCCTGAGCCTGGAAGCCCCCTTGGCAGGTTTTATGCTGCAGAGTTGAGCTTTTCCCAGGATGCATTGTGTTCCTGGAGCAAAGCCTAGGGATGCAGCTGGTACAGCCAGGGCGGGGCAGGGCAGAGGAGGAGCTGGCTGCAGAGGGTGTGTGCAGTGGCCTGGGGTCCCTGAGCAGGGTCTCAGGGCTGTGGGAGCAGGGAGGAGGGTCCTGGCTGAGCCAGGAGGGGCGTTTCCTCCATGCCAGGGCTCCTGGGGGTACTTGGGGGCATCGAGTTGAATTTGCAGGCTTGACTCCTGTGGTGCAGGAGGCAACACCATGCAGGGGGCAGGCACTGGCCAGGACATTCACAAACATGATGGCAGCCAAGGCCTGCTCAGGTCCCCTGCCTGGGAGAAGGGCTCAAGCTGCCTGGCCCAGATCCGCAGGCCCCTGACCCATCTGCTCTCTCCTTCTCTCCTGCAGGATGAAGATGAGACGCTACAAGCTCTTTCTCATGTTCTGTATGGCCGGCCTGTGCCTCATCTCCTTCCTGCACTTCTTTAAGACCCTGTCCTACGTCACCTTCCCACGTGAACTGGCCTCTCTCAGTCCTAACCTCGTGTCCAACTTTTTCTGGAACAATGCTCCTGTCACGCCCCAGGCCAGCCCCCAGCCGGATGGCCCAGACCTGCTGCGCACCCCGCTCTACTCTCACTCGCCCTTGCTCCAGCCACTGTCCCCGAGCAAGGCCGCTGAGGAGCTCCACCGGATGGACTTCGTGCTGCCCGAGGACACCACCGAGTACTTCGTCCGCACCAAAGCTGGGGGCGTCTGCTTCAAGCCAGGTACCAAGATGTTGGAGAAGCCGCCCCCGGGGCGGCCGGAGGAAAAGCCAGAGGGCGGGGATGGTTCCTCAGCCCGGGGCCCTGCTCGGCACCTACTGAGCACCAAGGAGCGGCTGGGGAGCCGATCCGCGCGGCGCAAGTGGGTGGAGTGCGTGTGCCTGCCCGGCTGGCATGGGCCCAGCTGCGGGGTGCCCACTGTGGTGCAGTACTCGAACCTGCCCACCAAGGAGCGGCTGGTGCCCCGGGAGGTGCCACGGCGGGTCATCAATGCCATCAACATCAACCACGAGTTCGACCTTTTGGACGTGCGCTTCCATGAGCTGGGCGACGTGGTGGATGCCTTCGTGGTGTGCGAGTCCAACTTCACTGCCTATGGCGAGCCGCGGCCGCTGAAGTTCCGGGAGATGCTGACCAACGGCACCTTCGAGTACATCCGGCACAAGGTGCTTTACGTCTTCCTGGACCACTTCCCGCTAGGGGGGCGGCAGGACGGCTGGATCGCCGACGACTACCTGCGCACCTTCCTGACGCAGGACGGCGTGTCCCGGCTGCGCAACCTGCGGCCCGACGATGTCTTCATCATCGATGACGCCGATGAGATCCCCGCCCACGACGGCGTCCTCTTCCTCAAGCTCTACGATGGCTGGACGGAGCCCTTCGCCTTCCACATGCGCAAGTCGCTCTACGGCTTCTTCTGGAAGCAGCCGGGCACCCTGGAGGTGGTGTCGGGCTGCACTGTGGACATGCTGCAGACGGTCTACGGGCTGGACGGCATCCGCCTGCGCCGCCGCCAGTACTACACCATGCCCAACTTCCGGCAGTACGAGAACCGTACGGGCCACATCCTGGTGCAGTGGTCGCTGGGCAGCCCGCTGCACTTCGCCGGCTGGCACTGCTCCTGGTGCTTCACCCCCGAGGGCATCTACTTCAAGCTCGTGTCTGCCCAGAATGGCGACTTCCCCCGCTGGGGAGACTATGAGGACAAGCGGGACCTCAACTATATCCGGAGCCTGATCCGCACCGGCGGCTGGTTTGATGGCACGCAGCAAGAGTACCCACCAGCCGATCCCAGTGAACACATGTACGCCCCTAAGTACCTGCTCAAGAACTACAAACGGTTCCGCTACCTGCTGGAAAACCCCTACCAGGAGCCCAGGAGTACCGCGGCAGGCGGCCGGGGGAACAAGGATGCTGAGGGCAGGCCGCCAGCCAGGGGCGAGTTGGACACGGTTGAAGGCTAGGGCTGCATGATCCCGTGGTGGGTGAGGGTGGCAGCCGCCCCGAGTATTATCTTCCTGCCTGCTTCTGCCGTCTCTGGTGGTTCTTGAGAGGACCAGGAGTGAGTGGGTGGGTGCGTGGGGGTCTTCTCCACTCAAGCCCTCCTGAATTAAGGGTCAGGCCTCCAAGCTCAACAGCATGCTTCCTGATCAGGAGAGGGGGGCAGGCCCAGACGTCTGCCCGGTCCTTTTTCCTGCCAGGAGTGCTGTGGCCAAGAGGTGCCAATGGAGAGTGCATGATTGGTCCTGGGAGCAGGGGAGGGCAGGCAGGGTGGGGAAGGGAGTGTGCCGGAACTCACCGGGCCACAGTGTGGGAGCTGGAGCCCCAGCGGAGAGAAGCCAGCCATTGGGCATCCAGAAGCTTTGGAGCTGCAGTGGGAAAGGGGTGCCAGGAGGTCTTGGGGCTCTGGACATGGATGCATTTGGGTCCAGGAGGAAGAGGGGACAGCAGGTGGGAAGAGATGAGAGCAGCATGCAGCTGGGAGGAGATGCTGGTGGGGGCTTTGCAGTACACCCAGAACTGTGGGCCAGAGAGAAGAGGACGCCCTGCCGGCCCCCAGGACTCCAGCCCTTTGGGGCTGACATAGGCGTGGTTCCCAGACCTGGCCTTGACTTTCCTTCTTACTTTTTATATTGCTCTTTGTGGGCTGCCCACTGAGTGCTTGCAGGGCCAGGACTGCGGTTCTCAGGTGGGATGGGAGACATTAGGTCAGGCCTGGGGGGTGGGAGGGGAGGAGACTGACAAGAGGCCTCTGATCATTCACCCTCTCCCCCTCATCACCTTGCCTGCCGGGACCCACAACCCCAGCTCTTCACTGTCTCAGGTGGAATCATCGTTGGGCTCCTCCTTGGGGCTGGCTAAGGGCCACGAAGGGACCACGAGGCTGCCCTGGGCCCAGGAAGGGACATTAAGGCCAGTTGTATGATATCCCATTCCCCTTAGTATGCCTTTGGGGGCAGGGAGTATATTTGTTGGAGTAGATTCTAAGCTGCTGTAATTAAGAGACTCCAGAATACAGTGGTTTAACAAAACAAAAGCTTATTTCTAATTTAAGTGTCTAGAGGGAGATGGTCCAGAGCTAGTAGGGCAGCTCTGCTTTCCTTCATACACACCTTCCCATTCTGGATGCAGAGTGGCTGCTGCAGCTCCCACCATCAACGTGTACATCCAAGCTAGGGGGAAGCAGAGAAAGGCAAGGGAAATGAACACTCTTTCCTTTTAAGGGCAGGAACCAGAAGTGGCACGGTCACTTGTGGTTGCTTCTCATTGGCCAAGACTTAGTCACATGGCCACAACTTGCTGCAAGGGAAGATGGGAAATGTAGTCTTCAGCTGGGCTGCCATGTACCCAGCCTCAGCTTGGGAGTTCTCTTATTAAAGGCAGGAAAAGAGGATGGATATGGACGACAAGTAGCATCTTTGGCACAGGGGGAGGGGGAGAGAGGAAATGACTGCTTCCGTCCTGGGATCTTGCCTTCATGGTTCAGAGCTTCTGGAACTACCAGGGCTGCGGTGTGGTGGGAGCCTACAGTTGGTGGGGAGGGCGAAGGCCCTCTTCCCTGGGGCCCCTCAGATGTGTACCCAGTGAGGCCAGTTGGTGGTGTCTGCCTGTGGAATGGTCTATGTTTGTGCGTGCGTGTATATTTATGGGCATGGGTGCATGCTTGGTGTGTATTAGTACATGTCTATATCGATGTGTCCCTGTAAATAAATGCTTGTGTGTGGATGTGGAAGTGGGGCCCACGCATCCCCAGGGCCCCAAGCCTGTGGCTACCTCCTGCAGCTCCTCCAAGATGGCTTAGGCTGGAAGCCCTCAGGGAGCCGGGGAGGCAAGTCTAAAGGGGAGGCGGGGTCTGTCTGTCTGTCTGTCAGTCAGTCTTTCAGTGGAAAGAATGAGAATCCTCTGACCTAAGGGCTGCACAGCTGAGCACCCACTACCTCCACAGCCCTCCCCCTACCCCAGCCTCCAGCTGGGACTTTCTGGGCCAGGAGAAGAGGCATCTCCTTTGCCACAGCTCTCTCAGGGAGGTGCCCAGTGATGTGAGGAGCTGACTAGCCGACAGCCTCTGGTGGGCAGGCATGAAGCAGGCTTAGGGGCTCTAGTGCCCCCCACTCTCCCTCCTGTCCAGGGGATGTCCCTGAGGGAACCCCCTTCTGGAGGTACAGCAGCCCCTCTCTGTCCTTGTTGGGTCTGAGAAGTGGCCCTAGAGGTTAGAGTGCCCCTGTAACTGTGTCAACAGGCCTGGCCCACCCTCCTTGGTGCCTCTGCTCTCCACTTGAGGGGACCATCTGGGGGCTGCACTGAGGGGAGAGCGTGTTGCCCCCTCCCGTGTCTGCCACCTCTTCCCCAGACTGGGGGCTCCCAAATCCTGCCTGGGCCCTGGCCCAGGGCCTCTCTCCCACTGCCTCACACCCTCAGCTGCTGCAGAGTGACCCCTTCCCCAGCTCGCAGGGGTCCCTGGCCTCTAGGTCACCAACCATGGGGCAGGTCAAGGAAGAGGGGGAAGCCTGGCCAGCAGGTAGAGAGGACAGCTGTCAGAGGTAGGGCCTGGGCTGGGGCTGGAGAGTGTCACTCATACATAATCACATCGTTCACTGGGAATGGGGGAGTGGCAGGAGACCCGGGGCCACCCCCCCAGTATGAAGGGAAATCAAGCTGTGAAGGCAGACGGCTGGATGCCACTGGCCCTATCCACACATCCAGATTTCTTCCCCCAGAACCATGGAGTCCCGGCTGTGCCATTCAGGGCCTCGCCCAGTGCCAGCCACATCCTGGGCCACATTGGTTGCCAGGGACGATGGGCACAGGAGAGCTTTGGGGGCAAAGGTCACAGTCAAGGTGGGGGAGGCAGGCCTTGCCCAAGCTGAGGCAGGGCCCTGGGAGATGTGTAATTTAAGGACATCAGTAATAATAGTAATTTTTTTTTGTAAGGAAAAATCAATATGTACATTCTGAAATCATTTTCTCTGTAAATGGTTGGATTTCATTTCACCCTTAAAGGGATGCCTAAAGGAGAAGATACTATTAATAATAAACAGCTACAAAGTCTGAAGGGTGTGCATGTGTGGCCAGTCTGAGGGTTCCCTGGGGCAGAGTGGGTTGCGAGCAGTGGCTCCGGTCTTGCTAAGATGCCCAGGCTGCCCAGGGCTGGGTCATGGAGGATCTTCCGAGGACCAGCAGGCAATGGGGAGAGGGAGCGTGTATGGAGTGCCCACACATATAGGTGGGTGACCCCAACCTGGGGAGGACCTTCCCCTCTCCGAGATGGAAACAGGCCTGGAAAGGGCAGGCTCTGGCCTGAGACCCCGAAACGAGGGAGAAGTGGGCCTGGTGCCAAGATAGCGACTCCCACCTCCCAAGGGGACCAGGATGAAGCTTTACTGCCTCTAAGAGAGGGGAGCGGCTCCCACAATTCAGCCCCTACTTTCGGGCGTCCAGCCAGGTGCTCCCACCTCACTGCGTTTCCTCCCCATGTGTGTCAGGGGTTCTGAGCGCCAAGGCCAAGGCCACCCAGGCTGGACCTGGGCTCCCAGCGCTGGATTCAGCACGTTGCCAGCCCATCTGGGGCAGATCAGGACAGCGAGATCAGTCCTGTCCTTCCGACGGAGCTGACCTGGGGCTGGTGCTGCGATGGCGCATGGGACACAGAACGTGGGGGCTTCCCGGAGGCGGCTCTCTGGGTCCAGTGGGCGCCGCGTGGTCCTGGTGGGGACCTTAGATTGTCCTGGGGCTCAGGTGTGTCCTAACAAGAGTCTCGGGGATGGTAGAGTGACATGCTTTGAGCTCTACCATGGTCCCCTGTGGGTGGCTGTGCAGCCTCCGTGGTAGGTGAGGGGACCGGAGGGAGAGGAGCAGGGACAGCAGTGTGGTGGCCTGAGCACTTTACAGCATCACTTTGATTGAACTATGATGCCTGAGAGCTGGGACTGCCCAGGTCTGAAAGCACAGGACCACTATGGGGGCAGGTAGCTGGGGGTGGAGGGGTGGGGTGGGCTGAATCCTACAGGACTGGGGCAGAATGGAGGGGATGCAGATACCCCATCTAGCCAGGAGACGGCGATGGTGACCCACTCGCCGTTTAGGATCACGCTTACAACCCGTCCATCATGTCCTAAGGGAATCAGACTCACTATAAAATACTTACAGATATTAGTTATTAAGTACTTATTTTGTATCAAATTCTGAGCTAACAGATTTCCCTTCGCATTGTTCCCATTTTACAGATGTGGAAAGCCAGGCTTAGACACATTAAATAAATAAGGCAGTGAATGGCAGAGTCAGAATTTGCCTAACATGCTGAGCTCTTAGCTGTCAAACTACACTCCTATCAGCACTCACTGGGGAGGGGAATGGCGATGGGGAGAAAGAGAGCAGGGGAGGTTTGGAGGGGAGGAGAGTGGAGATGACGATACCAATACTCAAGCATCATCCAGACACTAACCAAACCAGGCACAGTGCCGGTTCAGGGGACACAGAGGACAGTCACTGCCATCAGGAGGGTCACAGCCAGTGGGGAACACAGTTAAGCACAACCTCAGAATGGTGACCCACTGAGAAGGTTGTGAGGATGCTCAGAGCTTGGAACAGTGCCCGGAGCACAGTGAGAGCTGCATGTGTGTGAGTGATCATCATCACGACAACACCCTCGTCCTCCGTTTCCTTCTCTGTGACACACTGACTGCGTGCTCACACCTTCCTTCTTGAGACGCCTTCCTTTGACCTCTGTGACTTGGCTGTCTCCTGATCTCTTCTTCATCTCTCTCTGACATTCCTTTTTGGCCGCCTTCCTGGGCTCTCTTTTCTCCACGCACCCCTTCAACAAGAGGGCTCCCCAGGGCTTGGTCCTGCACACAGTGCGCTGCCTACAGTTCTTGGCTTTCGCCAGAGTTGGGCTGGCTCCCTGTTGCCACTTCTGTTGACTCTCATACTGAACCAGCCCCCATGGCCCTGTCTGTCTTGCCAGGCTACCTTTATGAAGACCACCCCCAACATGCATCACACCAGAACTTGGCCAGGACACTTTGCTTTCTAGAGGGTCATGCCCATCATGTATTGTCAGCCCATTGCCCTTCCGGACCAGTCCCTGGAGAACAACATCATGCTTGGTAAGGTAGAGGGTCAGCAAAAAGGAGGAAGATCCTCAACAAGACAGATTGACACAGTGGCTGCGACAATGGGCTCAAATGTAGCAATGATTGTGAGGATGGCACAGGACCAGGCAGTGTTTCATTCTGTTGTTCATAGAGTCGCTATGAGTCAGAACTGACTCAACAGCACTTTACAACAGATGCTCCACCATTTGGTTCTACAAGCATTGGCCAAGACCTAGGACACAGGCTAGGGGTGGGGAGAAGAAGACATAGCTTCCTTGAGAAGTGCAGGAGGCAGAGAATTTCCTAATTCAGTCGTTCCCGTTCACTGTGACCACTTTCTGGAACAGGAGGCCT